TCAAACATGTTGATTCTCTTTTCCTGGGGGGTGTGGATAATAACCAAATTGGGAGATTGGATAGCAGCTGATTTAACTGGCAGGTGCCCCCTTTCCTCCTAGAGGTGCAAATCAGAAAATCCAAGAAGTGCTGCTCGTTTTCAGATTCTGTCTTGTTGAAAACAAACTAAAGGGGCTCAAGGATCAAGTAGAAAACTTTGGATTATGTTCAGAATTCAGCAAGGCACCAAATGGATTATCCAAACCACTGTGTGCCCTGAATTGTTTTTTAAAACTCTTTTTACAGAGATGCACTTGATATCTTTGTGTTCAACACAGCTTCTTTTTTATCATAAGTGTATATTTTTTTCTTAATAATTACAACACAGTCAGTACTATCCCCATCTCTTAAGAAAATTGGGGTCACCTTGAACACACATCTGGTTTTCTTTTGGGTAGTAAAGCAGCCATTTTAGGACTTTGCTTTTAAAATTAATAAAAATGTATATTCTCTGTGACATCCAGGTTTTAAAGCAGATGCTAAAATTTGATCATTATGTTTGATATATGCCTATTTGGGTATAACATAGACTGACAATCCTCTGGTTTTTCTCAGCATTAGGGACATCTATCTGCAAAGTTATGGCCTAAAAGTTTTTCGGCCTCAAAGTGGGACTTGGGAGCCAATGGCCTTCAGAACTTGAACTCTCCCAATGGTCCAAAGGCCCATTCGTGGCCTAACTTTCACTCTAACATCTGTCCCGGGTGCAGAGAGGGCGGGTAAACTTTAGCGTCTATCTGCAAGCCTGTTACCGACTTTATTTTCTGAAGGAGAAACAAAGGTATCTAAGGTTTATTGATTTGCCTATAGTGATTCAGTGAGTCGGCAGGGAATAGGGAATAAAACCAATTTCCTGGCATCACTTCCCATGCACACAACCCCTTACCTTGCAGTGCCTAGACTGGAAGCCAAGAATCCATCTTGGGGAATTTGATCAGAAAACATATGAAGGGTGATTCTGAAACCACAGAAGCATTGAGAAAGTCATAAAGATGTATAATATATGATAGCATTTACCAGCTATAAATAGGGAGATGCAGAGAGAAAAATAGAGACCTTGTAAATCCATTGGGTCAGGAGAAATAGAAACTGCTTAATATTTCATTAAAAATGGATTTTCATAAATTGCACTTTGATATCTTTGGGCGAAAGACGATATGTAAGGACTAAGGCATTGTTATTCATTACTCTTTGTTATTAATAATTTGAACTGTTGCTGAACCAACACATCAACAAGGTGTATTCTCCCTATGAGTGGAGCACTCACCGAGTGTTCTGGGCACTATTGGATGTATATAAAAATCCACGGCACTTGGCCATAAAAGCGCTTAGACTGTAAGGGACAGCATGAAACTAAAATGCCGCTGTTAAGAAGTAGACACTCTTGGGGCAGTTTGAACTGCAGGCTAGATTAGAAAGCCCTTGTGAAGAAAGCCTTAGAATCTGGGGACCAGAAAAGACCTTAGGAATCAACTTGACTATCCCCTCATTTAGCAGAGGAGGAAGTTGGGGCCCAGGGGAGGTAGAGGTATTTGCCCACACTTACGAGCTCATTAGCAGCAGAACCTGTCTCCTGGCTCCTTGGTCAGAGGTGTTATTGTGTTGTTGTTGTTGTTTTTGCCCCCACTACACCACACTCACAGTGAGACGTGTGTGATGTGCTTAGTAAAGTAAAATGGTATTCCTTCAGCCAAGGGTCCAGAGAGCAGAGGGCAAATATGAACATAAGGTCAAGAGCAAAGGAACTAGTCTGGGAAACATGAAGAATAACTTGAAGCCAAGTTGAAAAGGGCCTTCAGTTGGTTCCAAGTGTGGGAGAAGGGTGAGCAAGGTGGAATGGCAGAATCAAGTTCAATCTGAGCAGTCAGGTAGTTGCCTAGATAGATGATCCTTGTGCTGGTCTCCCTTTCTGACTAGTGCCGCTGCAGGCTAAGATATGGGAGACTTACCCAAAGCCTGTGGCCATATGCAACCACGAGGACACCAACCCCCTCTCCAGGCCGTGTACACACAGCGTGTGCACCCACATGCCCACACGCAGACACTTCACGCACACGCCAGCATTCCCCAAGGCAGTCGAAGAATACAATCATTTTCTTACTGAGGGGGGAAAAGACAAGTTTTCTTGGTGTTGTCTGCCAACGCTGAGAAATGAAGGGGTCGGATAAGATGAAATTGGATATTAAAAACACATAAAACGTGCTGTGTTTTTAAACAGTACCAGCGTGGTGTGTGTGCTGTGGATTAGCAGCTGTGGTAAAGTTCAGATCCACTCTAAAGTCCAATTATGTATTCACGTGGCAAATAAAGTCCCCTTACCCCATATGAATGAGTTTCTTAGCATTTCGTGACAGAGGCCACACACACAGTCACCATCGCCTTCCCCAGAGAGGAGCAGTCCAGTGATGGCGCCCACTGCTCACGGTACCCATCCTAAGTAAGCAAAATGCTGCCTTTGTTTCTTCCCTGCCAAAAGAAAACAAAACAAAAACAAATGGAAAGCCTCTGCCTCCTGCTGAATTCTGGGAGAAGTGATTCATCTCTTGTCCTTGGATTCAGTTCCTCCTTCACTTTCAGCAGAGCCTCTTAGCAGCCCCAAGGAGGCCAAAGAATGGGAATGGTGAGGCCAGGGCTTTCCTGGACCCCGTTCCCTCCTCTTCTGGTCATCCTTCTCTGTGATTAAGAATTTACAGAGGGCTGCGACCCTCTCCGCGTACGCCTTCTCCCGGCCTCCCGCTCTCACTCTCTTTCCTTCTACTTCCTTGCGCCCTGTTGTTGTTAGTTGCCCTAGATTCCAACTCGTGGCAACCCCATGTGTGTGGAGTAGAACTGCTCCATAGGGTTTTTCAAGGTTGTGTCCTTTGAGAAGCAAATTGCCAAGCCTATCTTCTGAGGCACCTTTGGGTGGGTTCGAACTGCCAACCTTTCGCCAAGTATTTGAGCACTTAACCATTTGTGCCACCCAGGGATCTCATTCTCTACGCTCTACTCCCTCCCTAATTGCCTTGTCTTCTCGCCCTTACTTGTCCTCAATCACAATGCAGGGGGCAGCAAACTAGAACCTGAGAGAGATGAGCACTCAACCACTCCTCCCCCTGTTCTCCCTGTGGTCGGCAAGGCAGCAGAGGAGGAAACCAACAGACTAGGACCAGGGGAGGAGAAGGAGTAGCAAGTTGGGTGGGCCAGGTAGAAGCCCCCAGATTCAGTGGCCTTAGTATCAGGAACAAGGGGTTTAAATTGATTATGGTGGACTGGTGAAAACCCCTTTCCTTTTCTCCTCTCCTCTGTTTGTCTTGAGCAAGCCACTTCCCCTCATTTGACGGTAAAAGGTGTAAAGTCTCTTATCCTTTATCCCTACCCTCAGTGGTCTGTTAATAAATGGCCCTAACTTTTAACCTTAGCAAGTGGGAAGTCTCTGAAGGGTTCAAGGTTGCCAAATGGTGGAGTTCCTAATTGTAGTTCATGGAGAAGAAAGGACTACATTGTTACTCGGCTCTAAGTGTCTGTGCTGCTCTTTGCTATTACCTGAGGCTGTTCTAAGGTGGGATTGTAAACTTACACTGGGAAGACATCACCAGACAGCAGCTCTCGCTCCATTCAGCTCACGCTCGGAGACTTTAAGAGCTCCGTGAGTCTTAGCCATCAATAAAAACACTGTGAATTTATTAAAAGAGATGAAGGCCAGCCCAGGAAACTGCAAGTTAAAGCCTACAAATATGGCAAGGGCTTTGGATCCAGACAGACGTCTCAGAGCCTCAGTTTTCTCATCAAAAAAATGGAGATAATAATACCACCCAGGGTGCTGTTGAAATGATTGTTGCTACATGGCATCTGGCTCACAGGTATTCAGATATGCCAGTTTCCCCATCCGCTTGTCCTGGTCCTGTCATTGCCACCAAACACCAAGCATGTTCTGAGTATCATGAGCTGAAGCACTGACTTCCCCTACCCAGGAGAAGTCACTGGTTGTTACAGTGGGATGTGAGTCATTTGGTTGATGCAGGTATGACAGGTATGGTTTAGAAGTGATGGTTGGTTGGTTCATTGGTTTTTCCCTCCACCCTTATCCGGGGAACGAAGAGAAACCCGCATAGACTTACTCCAGTTGCTTTTTTGTTTTTAATGGACAGCACAAAAAAGCATAAGGTCCATATGGCAGTTATTGATTTGAGCCATCTGGTAAGGTAGAACTTGTTCCTACCATTGTGGATCAGAAGCTACTTTGAAAAACCTTTCCTCCCATAAGAGATGTACTGGTCAGATGGGGACAGGGATGGATTTCATTACAGGGCGGGGACTACAGCAAGAGGAAGCCAGCGCAGGACTCCAACGGACTGTCTGCAACCCTGCCCCTACAACAAAGACCAGAGAGAACCGTGAAAGTGGTGATTGACACAGGGGCACTGTGGGGAGAGGGTGCCTCCTCACCCATTCATGGAACAGGGGAGGCCTTTAACTAGCAAAAACAATTGTGAAGCACTTTACAATTATAAAATGCCCTGCAACTATCCCTATATGTCTGCAATATGAGGAAGAGGGAGTGTCAAGTTCAAACTACTGAGTAAGGTCACCTACCCTTAAAAGATGAACATTTTCACTCTATTTTTAAAATACAGTTTATTTATTCATTTCTCTCTCTTTTTTTCTCTTCACTTCTGAAGTGTTTTCCTTTTCAAGCCTCCTTCCTCTGCTTGCTCTCAGCCCAGAGGCAACATTTTCCTTGCCTCCAAAAGTTTTTGTGAAACCCATTTATTGTTTTCAAGTTAGAACAGTGTGAGAAATTAATTTTTTTTATCGTGTTTCTAAAAAAAGCCCAAAACAAAAACCCACTAATTGTTTTTAAACTTGAGGGAAATAAAATTCAACAGAACTTTCCCACCCCCCTCAGACAGAGAAGACTGCTCCAGGGACGAACTACAAACAGGATTTCAGTAAGGCAGTTTTGTGTCTCGTGTTACAGGTATTCCAGGCCAATAACGATGCCGCCGAGGTGGTTTTGAACAAGCTCCACATGCCACTGCTGACGAGGTTCGTCAGGATCCGGCCTCAGACCTGGCACTCGGGCATCGCCCTCCGGCTGGAGCTCTTTGGCTGCCGGGTCACAGGTGAGGTATAGGCTCTACTGAGGTTGGGGAGCTAATTGGGTCTCGGGCTCTGCTCCCTCCTTCAGCTATCTGCAAGCAGCATAATTGCACCATTCGACCTTTCCAGGAAGATTGGCCCAAGAGCTCAAGTCCTACCAGAGTCTGCCTTTTCATTCATTCAGTTTGCATGTTTGTATGGATGTATGTGTGATACATGTATTAAGCATCCACTATTTCTACTGGCTAACATTTGTTGTTGTTAGGTGTGGTTGAGTCAGCTCCAACTCATAGTGACCCTGTATATAACAGAACAAAACATTGCCTGGTCCTGAACCATTCTCACAATTGTTGCTATGTTTGAGCCCATTGTTACAGCCACTGTGTCAATCCACCTTTTGAGAGTCTTTCTCTTTTTCACTGACCCTCTACTTTACCAAGCATGGTGTCCTTCTTCAGGGATCGGTCCCTCCTGATAACATGTCCAAAGTAAGCAAGATAAAGTCTCACCATCCTCACTTCTAAGGAGCATTCTGGCTGTACTTGCTGTAAGACAGATTTGCTCACTAGCATTCAGTAAATGTTAGCTAAGATTTGAACGAATAAATCTTAGCTAACATTTACTGAATGCAAACTATGTACCAGGTTCCATTCTAAGCACATAAGATGTGTTATCTTTTATAATCCTTATAAGGAATCTAGGAGTCCTGGTGGCGCAGTGGTTAAGAGCTTGGCTGCTAACCAAAAGGATAGCAGTTCAAATCCACCAGCCACTCCTTAGAAACCCTGTGGGGCAGTTCTACTCCGTCCTATAGAGTCGCTATGAGTCGGAATCGACTCGACAATGCCACGTTGGTGTGTATAAGGAATCTGTGAGGTAGGTATCATTATTCTCCCTGCTTTACAGCTGAGGAAGCTGAGACTTAGAGAGCTAAGTTGCCCAGCCAGTAAGTGGTAGAGCCAGGGTTTGAATCTAGGCAGTTTGAATCCAGAACCTCTGTTCTCAAATAATATTCTTACTGCCTCAACCAGACACCGTTTATTCATGCATTTCCCACGCACTCATTTGCTCCACAGATACTTATTGAGGGTATGCTGTGTGCAAGGCCCCACACTGGGAGCTGGGACAGAGAAGTGAACAAAACAGTTGGGGTCTTTGCTGTCCTGGAACTTTCAGGCTAGTGGGCGAGACAGATAATAAACAAACACAGGTACTGGGTAATTATAAACTAGGGTGCATGTCTGAAGGAAAGGAACAATGAGAACAGTGACTGAGGAGACCTAATTCACTGTTGAGTCAAAGGTTGGGGACGTTCTTTCTGAGGATGTGAGACTTAAGCTTGGGATGAGTAAAGGTTAGTCTGGTGATGAGGAGAAGAGCATTGGGTAACTATGATAATCCTGTGCGGAAATAAAAGACCTGATACTGGTCGCCAGGACGGCTTTGATCTAGTTGGCCAGCTGACCACCCAGGAAGCAATTCAATGCTCAGCTGAGCTCCACTGCACACACTGTCCCTGAGAAGGTCAGTAGGGGGGAATGGTGTCACCAAGAAGGATATGCCAGACACTTACTCTAAGGAGTCCTTGGCATCTCGATAGAGCTGTAGAAATGAATAGCCATGGTGGCGCAGTGGTTAAGAGCTTGGTCAGCAGTTCGAATCCACCAGCTGCTCCTTGGAAACCCTATGAGGCAGTTTTACTCTGTCCTATAGGATTGCTGAGTTAGAATCTACTCGATGGCATCAGATTTTAACAGTCTATTACATGTGCCAGGCACTGAGCTATGGCTTTTATATAGTAACTAATGGAATCCTTGCTACAATGCCGTAAAATAAGTTCTGCTTTAGACCTGGGTAAACTGACGCACAGAGCAATTAAATTTGCCCAAGGTCATATAGCTGGTAAGTAGCAGAACTGGGACATGAACCCAGGCAGTCTTGCTCTGGAGTCTGTGCTCTTAACCACATTGTCAGACTAAGCAAGTGTGCAAAGGGAACAATATTGACTTAAAGGGCACATACACTAGTGGTGTGGTCCCCAGTTAGGAGGGCGTTATCCATGACCTCTTGTGTCTTCCTCCCCTCTCTGCAGATGCTCCCTGCTCCAACATGCTGGGGATGCTCTCGGGCCTCATCGCGGACTCCCAGATCTCTGCCTCCTCCACCCGCGAGTACCTGTGGAGCCCCAGTTCTGCCCGCCTGGTCAGCAGCCGCTCGGGCTGGTTTCCTCGGATCCCTCAGGCCCAGCCGGGTGAGGAGTGGCTTCAGGTGGACCTGGGAGCCCCCAAGATGGTAAAGGGCGTCATCATCCAGGGGGCCCGCGGAGGAGACAGCATCACTGCAGTGGAAGCCAGGGCCTTTGTGCGCAAGTTCAAAGTCTCCTACAGCCTAAATGGCAAGGACTGGGAATACATCCAGGACCCCAGGATCCTGCAGCCGAAGGTGGGCCATTCCCTGGAGGACTCCATAACCTTACCCTGGACAGGGAGGTTCGTGGGGTGTAGGGAGCTAGAGGTGCTGATTTCCCATCCAGAGAGATATCATCGAACCCCTACAATTTAATATTCCTAGCAAAACAACAAATATCAATTGAGAGATTAGTTTGTGCCAGGCATTGTGCTAAATGCCTTATTTAGACTTTTTCAATCTTCATAATATTTCTGTAAGGTAGCTCTTTTTGTCACTCCCGTTTTAGAGACGATAAAACTGAGGCTTGCTATCTTGATCAGGGTCACACAGTTTGCCTATGGTAGAGTCATGATTCAGACAACGTAAGTCTGATTCCAGATCCCGAGCTCCTAGCCACTATTTGATGCTCGATGCCTTTTTATAAAATTCTACCCTCTTTGAGATTAAGTTTCCCTGAAATTGGCCAGGCAACAAGAGGGGGCGTGGTTTTTGGACACTCAACTATAGAAACTAGGGATTTACTTCCAAAAATAACTCTGTTTTTCTGGATGTCTCTGCACATCTTTGTATTTTCCTACTCTTGACTGCTTAGATCTTTCCCGCCTCTCATACTGAGGCCAGGGGGAACCAAGAGAAACTTACTGAGGGTCAGAACTTCAGGCCAGTACCAACCACCCTCCTGTATCAGAAGGGTGAAGCTTGGCCTCAACACAGGGCACCCAGGAGCCCGAGATGGGGAGAGGACATCTTGCCTCTTTTCCTCTCCTGGCCAATCTCCCAGTTAGCCAGGCTTCCCTATCCTCATTTCCAAGTTACCCCTTGCTTTTCTAAGATGAGCAGGTCCCCCAAAAAGAAGGAGGTATCACGTGTCTGTGTCGGCCATCTTTGCTAAGCAAATGTTTCCATTCTGAGTGCAGAAGCAAGGGCTGGGTTGGAGGTTTTGCCATGCTGATGTCAACTGCCCGCTCACAATTCCAGAGGCTTGGAAAGGCTCAGGGCTTGATAACCGGAACCCTCTGTGGACGCAGCAGAAGTTAGGCCACAGGCTTCCCGAGGGAGAGCTGACCCTGGCTCTCCTTGACTGTTCTAGAGGCCTGGGAAAGGAGATGGTCTTAGATGGGTCAGAGCTTGCCCTCCCTGTGACTGCCCCTTTTTGAAATCATGGATTCAGGGCATCCTGCAAAGTGGGATGGTGCTCCAGCATTCCTGGGGACCCCCAGCCACCTCTGAACCTACCATTCACCTAAATCAGTGACTCCAAAATGTGCTCTGGGTCTGTGTCCTCCACCCGGCTTCAACCTCGGCAGCTCCACTCTTGTCATATTGATGCATCGGGGTCCTAGGTGAGGTTTCTTTGACAACTGCCTCCACTAAGCAAAGGTTGGCACCAAGGTGGTGTAGTGGTTAAGAGCTTAGCTGCTAACCAAAAGGTTGGCAGTTTGAATCCACCAGCTGCTCCTTGGAAACCCTATGGGGCAGTTCTACTCTATCCTATAGAGTTGCTATGAGTCAGAATCGACTCGACAGCAATGGGTTTAAGCAAAGGTTTGGGAAACACAGTCATAAGCTATCAGTGTATGACCAACGGACATTATCATTAGCATAGAGGAGAGGGTGATCATTCTGCCTTCAGGCTCTCAGTGAACTGGGAACTATCTGTCAGGCAGCCTTTCTAAATCTAGACTTTCCAGCATTAGAAAAAGAGGCATCACCTTTTCTGTATACTGAAGACTTCTGAATGGTCAGGCCAGCCTAAGCTCCCTTCTCTTCTCTCCTGCAAAGTTCAGTCTAAGACTCATTCAGAACCTAATGTTTCCCTGAGTCCTCAGTTCCAGTCCCAGGATAAAAGAGAGAACCTGGCAATTGCCTGCTTTTGTTTGCTCCCTATTTTCCATGTTTCTGGGTCCCCACCACCTTCCCAATGAATAAAAACCTTAGTCTGAAAGTGGAGCCCACGGGTGGGTCCCATGGGTCATAATGTCCCAGTGACCAGGAATCAACAGCCACCCTTCTGGTTGGGTATGAGGAGCAGGGAGAGAAGAGAGAAGGAGAGGGGAGGAGAGGGGCTCCCATACAAGAAGAGCTGAGAGGCCTGTCTCCCCCACAGCTGTTTGAAGGGAACATGCACTATGACACCCCTGACATCCGGAGGTTTGACCCTGTTCCAGCGCAGTACGTGCGGATTTACCCAGAGAGGTGGTCGCCAGCAGGGATCGGGATGCGGCTGGAGGTGCTGGGCTGTGACTGGACAGGTAAGGCCTGTTTCCTTCTCAGGTCTCACGCAGTCTTATGACTCTGGCTTCCCAGGATGTCCTGGGAGGAGGTCAGACTTGGGGAGAGGGCAGCCATCCCTGGTGAAACCCCATGTAGCTGCCGGCCCTGGCCTCTTCTGTGTTCTCCTGCCTCAGCCACGGATACTGCAGCCTCTGGACCCAGAACAGCTTCTGAAGGGATGTGCTTTGTCTCTCTTAAAGGATCATTGCAGCTCTCTAACCCGAGTCTCTCAAAAACAAATCATAACCGCACACCACCCATCCAAATTCAATTAGACCCTGCCTCTTCAGGCCAGAGGGCTGTGGCTGTTGATTTAGGGAAGAAAAAAACCCCTCATGATAATAAAGTAATCGGTTTATGTCTGAATCTGGTCTCCAGATGTCAGTGGCTAAGAGACTTCATTTTCATTTCGAAGCCACATCTGTAAAAGGCATTTATTTGCCCAGGAGGGACCCTGTTGTGGGGAAGCTGACAGGAATAGGACTCTCCCCTGTGTACTGCTGGAGCCTTAGTCGTTCCTGTCCTCGCATGGGCGCCACATGCTGGGAACACCTCTAATTCTCACTAACGAGGACAAGGCCTGCTGAGCATGCCCACCCTTCTCCTGATTCAGGCCCCGCCTTCCCTCTGGGCACCAGCCCTCCTAGCTCTGCAGCGCTGGGTCTAGGTCTCCCCCAGAGCTTGCTCACCGCCTGCCAAAAGGAGCTCGGGGCAGCCATCCAGGGCTCACAGGGCCTGAACCCAGTGCCAGCAGGAGAAGCAGGCAGCCGAGCTATCCTGCCCCTCTCCTCCAGGGCCCCAGGTATCCCCATTTTCCTGTCTGTGCCTTACCTGCCACCAGCACACCGAGCAGGGCATCATGAAGGCTTAATAAAGGCATGTTGGAGAAGTGCTTTTAACTCCCAGGGAGAAAAGTGCAGCCTGTGCGAGGAACCCCATCAAGGGGTACAGGCTGGGAATCAGGCCCAAATTAGCCTCTGTCACCTTGGGAGTGAAGGCAGCCCCAGTGAACACATTTTAGTAGGAAGACACTGTATGCCCCGTGATATAGGGCGAGGCTACATTTCCCTGCAGCCTGCTGAATGTGGGTCACCTGTGCCCTCACAGCTGTTTAAAACCACACTCAAACAGGACCACAAGCTGGCGTCCTTTACTGCCTCCTCAGAGTCGGGGTGTTAGAGCTGCAGGGGACCCAGGAGCTTCTAGACCAGTGGCTTCCAAGTGTTTTTGATCATGACCCACAATTTAAAATAAATTTATGTCACAACCCAATTTATTTACATATGCACACAAACACAAGCATGCAGACACACTCGTGCATATGGGGTGTGTTATTAGCTGCCGTTGAGTTGGCACCCGACTCATGGTGACTCCCTGCACAATATGGTCAGACTCTTGTGATCCATAGGGTTTTCACTGGTTGATTTTCAGAAGTAGATCTCCAGGCCTTTCTTCCTAGCCCATCTTAGTGCAGAAGCTCCTCTGAAACCTGTATAACATAGCAACATGCAAGTCTGCACTGACAGACAGGTGGTGGCTGTACTTGAGGTGCATTGGCCAGGAATCAAACCTGGGTCTCCCCCATGGAAGGCGAGAATCCTACCATCGAACCACCACTGCCCCCATATGAGGTGTAGTGTATCATTAAGTGCATGGGCACTGGAGACAGATTGCCAGGTTCAAGTCCTGCCTCTGCCAGTCACTGGCTGCATAACCTCAGACAAGTTACTTAGCATCTCAGCACCTTGCTTATCTTAGCTGACGAATGGGAATAACAATAGTATATTTATAGCTCCTAGTGTTGGAATTGATGGCAACTAACAACAATAACGTGTTATTATCAATGGTAACTGGTTAGTTAGGTGTTGTTATGAGGATTAAATAAATGATAGCTATGAAATACTTAGACTGCTACCTGGCACATAGCAAACCTGTTATCATATGTAAATATAATGAAACAGAAGGTCCCCAAAGCAATGCTCCTTCTTACCATAAACAGTGCACGCTAAAATATTATAATCTATATTTTTAAAATGTTAGTCACGACCCATTAAATTGATGTAAATTACTATTAATAGGTTGTGACACAGTTTGAAAAAACACAGATCCAGGCCAATTCCTCTTTTACAGATGGGGAAACTGAGGCCCAGTGAGAGGAAGCTACTTTGCTTGGGTCGCTCAGCTAGTTGAGGCCAACCCAAGTCCTCATACCTCCCTTCTCTTCTCTGCCTCTCTGTACCAGGCCTCTCCCAGCTAGGCCCTGCTTTATGACCAGCTGGACAGTTACTAATGGCCTCTTCCCTTTAGTGCCCCATCCCACCCCCAGCCCTGCCCCAATTCCACTGATGGTCAGCAACAGGTTTCTCATTTCAAAGCCCTGCCTGGCCATTCCTTGGAAGATCAGAGTTGAGGCGCACTCGGCTCTGCCCAGCTCCTTGCCTTTGAAGTCTCTGACATCTGGTTTCAATTGCTGGGGAACATTGCTGTGTGATGGGCAGTTACCTCTGAGTGCCCAGTACAAACACTGTGGACACGGAGGCTGTCTGCCGCTTCCTCACTTTCATTTACATGCCCTGCCCTCTCCTCACCTCACCTCGCTGGCCCCTGGATTTAACATTATCTTCACCAACCAGCTTACCCATTTTACTACCTGACATTTCCAGAAACGGTTCTCCTAGGCCATGTGGCTTATTTTACGTTTAAAATGCCCACCAGCTTCTGCAACTCATCCTTGGTTCTTCATTCCTACCCCAAAAGGATAACAGGGAAAATAACAGGCCAGGTTTTGGCTAAATAATTTGACAAGGCTGCCTCACCTGCTAGCTAGTTTGTGTTTCAAATGATTACTTCTTGCCTTGCCGCCCATCGTTTGCTTTACAACTGAGTTTGAGATTCTATGACACGGTGACAAATTTGAACTTACAAATTAGGATGCTTTGAGGTTATTTGCTATTTACTGTGAGCAAGAGGCAGACACGGCAAAGGGAAGTATGGAAGGTTATGTGCGTCGTATTTAATAGCAGAAAGGTGGGAAGTTGACCGTGAAAAAGCTATTCAGTGTATTTAGCTATTTCCTCCATCTCCTGGCTTTATTAAATGGTATCCTGAAGGGTGCCTGACAAAGGTGCCTAATCACGCACAATAGTACTAGGGAGCATGTATAGAAACGGGAAGAACAATGCCTGGGCGTATTTGGGTAGCCTCATTGGAGGGCAGCTCTGGGATGAAGACACCACCCAATAACCGCTGGACTTGAACACCAGTCACCAGAGCCCTGACTCATAGCCGTCATTCATCCCTAAATGGTTGCTGTATGAATGAATGGGGTGAGCAAATAAACAAGCGAATGAATGGGTGAATGAATCACCTAGAGCAGAGGCCAGAGCAGACTGCCTGCCGGCCAGGTTGGGCCCCACCAGGTTTCATTGCACACTATTTATTTTAACATTTTGAATACGTTGCCAACATTTACAAGTCTGGAGATTTTATAGAGGGATTTTTTACTTCTTGTAAAAAAAAAAAATCTTTTTTAAATCCCAAAGACCTGGCCCCACTAGGCCACCTCCTCTCAGGACCTCAATCTACTGGAGCAATTTATGGTGACCTCCTGTAAACCAAGTATGTGTGCTCCGCTCTGCCACCACTTTGACCACGCTTTACTCTCTTCCCAACCCCCAGTCAGCTTCCCTCGCTGGTAGCTGTTTGGATCCAGTGACATTTGAATTTGCCACACCCTGACCTAAAGGCACAGGCCCAAATTACTTTCATAAAGTGGAGTCTGAGTCTCTTTCAGTCTAGAGGCCCTTCCGTCCAGTTCTGTGCAAACACAAGCCAGCAGTGCCAGAGGTCCCAGACTGTCTGGCTTTGCTTAAGGCTTTGGCGATGCTCCTTCTGATTATCCTACTATAGGTGGGCCCCACAGGTCGGAAGATTTTGTAGGGTGAGCTTTGGTTCAGAAAAATTCTGTCTGAATCAGAGAAGGCTAAAACAGAGCAAATCTCTCGTCTGCGAAAGCAGGGAAAGCACCTTGGCATCACTCAAAGGTCCATCCAGAGATGCCTCTTTTCCATGTAACTGAAGCTCACTTCATTAAGCACCGAAATTTTGCAACCCATTTTTTATAGACACCTTTCAGTTTTTGTGTATTACCTACTCTTCGGTCTTAAACAGAATGCCCAGAGCATGGTGTAGCCCTGCATTGGGGTCACCATTGCCCACATCCATTCTTGTATCGGTGGCCTCTGCACAGACCTTCTGCTGGGTACTAAAAAACATGGGTTTCTGTCCGTGACTCTGTGTAGGCTGTTTCTGCAGCTCAGGGACCATTCCATTCAACTCAGACAAAGCTGCTGGCTTCTATGACAGCACACAGAGGCGCCTGCAGGGTTCTATGACGGCCCACAGGCGACTGCAGGCTTCTAGGACGGCACATAGAGGCGACTGCAGGGTTCTAGGACGGCACACAGAGGCGACTGCAGGGTTCTAGGACGGCACACGGGCGACTGCAGGGTTCTAGGACGGCACACAGGGGCGACTGCAGGGTTCTAGGACGGCACATGGGCAACTGCAGGGTTCTAGGACGACACACAGGGGCGACTGCAGGGT